GGTTTTGCTCGATTTGTTTAACGAAAATAGTTCCAAACAAACTTCGCAGCAGAACTGTCACGCAGCTCTGAGCAACACACAGTGTCAGCGGTGTTTCGTTAGGCTACTGAATGATTCGCATTTTTGAATTAATCATTTGAGTCAATGATTCAGTGGTCCATTCATAAAGACAGGCGCTTGCTTCATTCTTGAATGAATCATCCATCTGAACGAATCGTTTGAATGCCTCAATGACTCACTCATTAAGACAGTCAACTTGCTGCCACTTGCTGGCGGGTTACTTTCAAATTTAAAAGTAACTTTTTTTTGTGTTTTTTTTCTCACAACTTTTCATATTTGTAAATAAAAAATCCTGATGTAAAACACCAAGCTCACAGCATTATTTATGCTGTTGTAATTTTGCAGTATTAATGCATTCATGCTACATTTCAGCTTAATTAAATTGTCTGTGTAAATGCATCTAAATGTCACTTCAGCTGCTTATGTTTCTCCAGCAGTGGAAAATTTGGTTTTGTTAATACTGATTTCATTTGATTGGTAACAGCCCTATAGATTCTTATTTTATTAAGTGAAATTGTTAATAAAATGTAAGGATTTGATATGAAAGATGACATGCATTTAATAAGGTTAGGGGGAAATGCCCTTTTTACAGGCAAAAAAACTAAACGAACAAACCTGGAAATCAATTCAAATAAATTTTAATATGCAGTAACTTTGGTCATATAAAATGTAATTTTCCAGCAACAAAATTGTGGCCAGTGAAAATGCTGAGTGGCCAGTAATTTTGGAAAACCGCTGCACACAGTGGCTGGGGAGCAAAAGAGTTAATGTCAAGCCCTGTATACAGTGAATACTTGTATTTATACTTGTATTGCAGTAAAAAATGTGGTGTTTAACCGGAGTACGGTGGGGGTGCTTGATGTGTCATAAACTAGAAAGGGGTGCACACTGCAAAAAGTTTGGGAACCACTGGTCTAAGGGATGAAGTTAGCATTAGGGGCACGGCACTGGATTGGTTCTCATCGTACCTCTCCGATAGATCAGCTGAGGTGATGATTGGACACTCGTCCTCTCCTTCTGCACCGTTCACCTATGGGGTACCTCAGGGGTCCCTCTTGGGGCCTATCTTATTTTGTTTGTATATGCTCCCCTTGGGTTCGATCATGAGGAAATATAATATTTCATATCATTGTTATGCTGACAATACTCAGATCTACATTCCTCTCAGCTCTGATCACTCTTATTCTGACCTTTTTAATTGCTTTGAAGATATTAAAGGCTGAACTGGCAGAAACTTTCTCCAACTAAATGAGAGCAAAACTGAGATTGTTGTCTTTTGACTCCCAGGTGCTGTCTCTGATATAAGTATTAATCTAGATTCTATGTCATGAAACATTCATCCTTTTGCTAAAAACTTAGGTGTGATTTTTGACACTGATCTGAATTTTGAAAAACAGATAAGTGCTGTGGTGACGAGCAGCTTTTTTCAACTAAGACAAATAGCCAAATTAAAATCTATGCTCTCGTTTAAGGATTTGGAGATAGTTACTCACGCCTTCATCACTTCCAGACTTGATTATTGCAATGCGCTTTATATGGGTCTTAATCATTCATCGCTGAATCGCTTGCAGTTAGTCCAGAACGCAACCGGGAGGTTGCTGATTGGTACTAAGAGGAGAGAAAGCATTTCTCCTGTCCTAGTATCTCTTCATTGGTTACCGGTGCAGCATAGGATCCATTTTAAGATTTTATTATTTGTGTATAAAGCATTAAATGATCTAGCCCCATCATACTTGTCCGAACTTCTCAGCTATCAGCAATCCTCTCTCGCTCTCAGATCCTCTGATAAACTTTTGTTGCATATACCTCACTCTCGCTTGAAATTTAAGGGGGATCGGGCTTTTTCTGTAGCTGGTCCTTGACTATGGAATAGCATACCTCTAGACATTAGATCTGCGCCTTCCCTTCCTGTTTTTAAATCCCACCTGAAGACTTATCTGTATTCCTTGGCTTTTGGATGAAATGTATGTTTGTGTATGTTAATGT